GCTAATATTAATTATAACTATTAATATAATACCTACTATATAAAATAGCCTATAGCTATATAATTAGGCCTATTATATAATTAGCTATAATCTTAATATAGCTATTAGGCCTGCCTTATAGAAAGCTAATAGGAAAAAACTAAAAGAGGTCTATATAATAGCAGCTACTATTAAGAAGAACTTCTTATTAAAGTATTAATTTAATCTAATTAAAATAGCTATCTTTAATTATAACCTAATTAGGTTAATCTATTATATAGGCTATCTTAGCTTAATTAATCTAAACTAGATTAATAATAAGCTATTAGGTCTAAAGGATCTAGAGAAAGACTTAAGGGAAGGTTATCCCCTTAAATTAGACTAGGCTGCCTTCCTTACTGCTATTATTGGCTTAAATATATATAAAAAGTGGCTTTTTAATATAGCTAAAAGGGTTATTATAGTAAAGGGGATATTACTTTTAATATAATAGGCTAGTTATAGTTTAAGACTATAAGAGTAAAGCTAGGATAGTATATCTATATATAGAGTTAGATAAATATAGGGTAATAGCAGGATTTTAGGACTAAAGGTTTAAAGGAATTAGGTTAACTCTATTTATATAAGTTAGTTAGTAAAAGCTAAATTAACCTAAAGTTAATAATAACTAGATCTACTAATTAAATATATATGCCAGGGCATATAACTAATTAACCTTATATCTAAGAACTGCAAATAAAGTGATATCAGTAAAGAATTAGTGGTTTAAACTGGGGTAATTAACCTTATATCTAAGAATAGTTAAAGTAATATTAATAAAGAAGTAGTAATTTAAAGTAGAGATAGTTTATTTATAGCTTTAAATACTTTAAATATATATTTAGAATTTTATATTAAAAAGTTATAATAGAAAGTTTAATAGTTATTTAAAATAAAAAAATATAATAAAAAATATTTCTAATATTTTTATTAAATTTAATATTAAAAAACTAGAACTTATTTTATTTTCTATTTTATTAAAAATAATAATTTTATTAATATAATATTATATAGTTTTTAAGAGCTACTAGCCTTATTAATTATATAGAGATTAGCCTTATAGTACTATATAGCAAAAAGAACTTTTAGCATGCTGCTTGCTATAGTAGTCAATCTATCAGCATGACTGAGTATATCTGTATGGAAGTGACCGTTGCGTGAGGACGACAAGTTGTCACGTGGGAACGAGGCATCGGTCTGCTTTGGTCTCAAGTTTGAGATGTTGCAATACGCATTCGATTGATAGCTATCTTATGATATTATCTCTGAATCTTTGGGCGAGAGACGTTTTATTTCGCACAGGCGATGCCGTTGCCATGAGCCAAGGAGACTGTTACTATTGTGCGGAAGATTATTTGTACATCAATTACCAAGGTCTGATAGACTGAGGTAAATCACCAAGTCGTTTTGTCGGCGATGTGCTGGTCGGCGGCCAAGCGCCGCTTTGTGGACTTTGTTTGGCCGACGCCGAGATGTTGTAGAGCTTTCCAACGATGACTTGTCGTAATGTTGGGGAGGTTGGTCGGTCTCGAGGAACCCGTGTGCGTGGAATCGATGTGCGATTCAAGCAGACTTTCTTACATGATCTCCTGACTTGTTCCTGTTGATCATTACTATTATCGCGAGCCTGATGTAGCAGATCTCACAGACGGCGAACACGCTAGTGAGAGCGATGAAGCGAGCTTTGGCTCTTCGTTATATTGGAGGTGTTGAGAGGCGGGGAAAGAAATCTTGTGCTGTTGACATGCAGCTGTTGTACTTTAACCTTGTGCGATCGTGGCATCGAACAAGCGTGGCGACCCTCGATGTGACGAGCGAGTGGCATTCTGAGAGCATGTTGAAGGAAGCGTCCCTTTTACACAGAGGTAGGACAGATTCGAAAACAGGGTCATGAGGGGCACGGGCAGATAACTAGAGCAGTCGGACGACCGAAAGGTTGTGACTAGTGTTGTGTATAGATTTGTGGGTTACGCTTGGTTGCTAAACAAGTCGGCTTGTCGTGGAGCCCGTTGGTCGTTCTGTTTGGGGGGCGGTCCGCAGCCCTTTACCGTGGGAGTCTCAAGGAACTTGTGTCGGTAATGAAAGAATATTGGGTGGCGACGACGCTAACAGTGTAAAGGGGAGAATAGAGAGGAGGAAAGGGATTTGGACAAGATGTCGAACGGCTCAACTACCGAACACATTAGCTCTGAGAATGGATGGCACCCAGGCACCTCACCAATAAGGTGCTGCCCTAGCTCGCAGCAGAAGCCAGCACGATCGAGACATAAAGCCGCTGGCATCGGACAGCGGCACATACAAAGGCGTGGTGCTGTCCTACAATCCATTGTTGCTTCTAAAGCGTCGCGGGCTTCGACTTTGGCGGTATTGCTTCCTAGGCTATCGGCTAACCCAATTGTGTTCTAAGGTCAAATGGCGAGTTCGGTTCGAGGCGATGAGGAGGTTCTCGCAGCAAGCAGAAGGGAAGTCGGAATTCGAAGTTGCGCTAGTAATCAGAGAAGATGACGTTCAAACCTGTATAGAGTTAGCCAGATGATAAGAGTGTAGACGCACCTGGTCAATATAGCACACACAGCCCAGGGGATCAAAGATCAAATCAGTTACTACACCAGCCGGCAACCTGTTGACTCCCGAATCACAGCCGGCAAGATCAAGCGTCAGGCCCCCGAATCAAAGCCGGCGGGCGCTGAACCAGGCCCCGTCTACAGTGCCCCGGTTGTTCCAAGAAAGGAGGCATCGCGCTCGTTTGATGGGGTACAAGTCGGAATTTTATAGCGGCCTGTAGTGGCGGTTCACCGGGTCTTTGGACTTGTGCTGTGTGCTTGTGAAGGGGAAGAAGATTTGGTGATGAGGGAGAGTTGGAGATGGAGATGGAGGGGCAGAGAGATGAGGGGCATGAACCTGAGTCGCGTTACGGGGCAGCAAGGGCACGCGCGATCATGTGACATCTTGGGCCAGTGGCAGATTGGCGCCACATCTAAGTGGCTAGATTTAGAACAGCCATACGGCGAACCCTCCACCCTGAGCCGATGTGTGCTATTGTTGCCTACAAGGTGAAGTCAATTTACTGAGTTACTCGCTTTTAGGTAAACATAATCTTACATTCGCTCTCACTTCTACCTGAACGACATAGCCGCGTTCTGCACGACTCAACTAGTATGTTAGACACAAATACTCAAATCTCTACGGCCGCCGTCGTCGGCTGGCCAAGTGGTGATAACCTCAAGTACCTGGCCGATCCCGATCCAATGCAGAGCAGCCTGACATTCAAGACACGAATCGATAACACTTCTTCCCTTTTCGAAATCCGGGTCCCTATCCATCTCAAACTCACGGAAAAGAAAACACCTAGACTCTCGTCCCTCATTTTGAGCATGCTCTCGACCATAGAGACCTTTTCCTTTCAAGTCCTCGCGACAATCTCTCAACCCTCAAGGGGAAAACTGAGCTCTCAAGTCCTTGGCCTCGATTTTAAGCTCAATGAGAACATTACGGTCCTTATTCCTCTGCACGCGAAGAAACAGCCGGTCCAAGGCAAGACGCAATCTGGTGTTGTTCTCGACTTTATTCGCGAGATATCTCAAATTAAATTCTTCTCCGTGTATATCGATCATACTTATTCACATGAGGCTGGGCTAAATTCCATCCGCAATGCAATAGATGGGGGCCGATACCGATCCACTCGCAAAAGACAGCTTGACCTGCAGAGCCTACATCAAGGTCAAGGTACCCAGATTACTCGTTTTCCTTCGCAGTCGGAAGGACTACCTGCTTACGATGACGTGCCATCATCCTCTTTAAACATAACGACACAAAAGAGAAAAAGCCACGGCAAGAGCTAAATGACCAAGAGATTGAGACAAGCACGGCGGGCTGAGACTCTTGAAGCCCTGAGCCAAAAGATGGCCACCTTCGAGTTGTGGAAGACTTCCTAGGAGGAGGAGAAGCTCAAGGAGAGTCAAAAAGTGCAAGAGCTACAGGAAAGGGTGGTTACATTGGAAAAAGAAAAGATACGACTGGAAAAAGCCCTCGATGACCAAAAAACGAGGACCAGGGCCAGGCGTAGGCATGGCTGCATCGGAAGGTCAGACGGTTGAGATTTGACACAGCACAAAAGGAGATAAAGGATCTGCGAAGGAGAATCAAAACAGCAGAAGAGGAGATTGAAGCCCTCCAACAACAAAACGACAAAGTCGACTTTGAAGGCTATGACGCAAGAATCTCTGAGGTACAAGAGGAGGTAAAAGAGCTCGATGAAAAGTGCTCAGGTATCAACGACGACATGGTCACTCAGTAGAATTTGAGAGATTTTAGAGAGGACCTCAGACAAGCTATCGGGAGAAGGATATTGGGCGATGACTATCGATGGTACACCTTGAAAGAGAAACTGGATAGTTGGGCATATTGGCCAGGTCATTGGGTAGCTGTTTATGTATCATACGACCTTTTTAAAGAAGAGCCGTCACAGAGGGCAACATTGTCTCATCAACAGAAGAAGTCAGCGTCAAGATCAATCACACGAGTCCTCACCAAGACATGTGCCAAAAGGATACAAAGCTTGGTTTCTAAGTCTTGGGTGCAAGAAACCAGGCTCGGACTCAAATACCGATGAGGAGAAGTGGAAGACGGAAATGTGATTTATATAAGGATCGAGGAGACTGACATCGTAACTTAGAACGCCCCACTGATCAACACCGTCTTCCCTGCTTGGGCCACACCGGCGTTTGGTTTCACCTGCTGTAGCTATCTACATCTGTTGGAGATTTGTCTAACACACTACCTTACCCATCCTGCCGAGAGTGATGCGGACAATAGGAGCAAGGCTGGCCGGCCAGACTCTATACATGAAATGCGCCAACAAAACATCTACCTTTTGAATTCATTCAAGTTTCGCCATAATCTATGTGCTAAGTGAAAGAATGACGTTCTATTTCATTGTGTAGGCTTGGTTCATTGGTTGGTGCTCAGAAACTGGTTGGCGATCACGATGTGTTGCCAAATATCCCACCAAGTCAAACTTAATGAAGGCATTTGCCTCGGCTAGGATTTAGCCTCTCAGCATGAGCGGTGTCTTATCATGGTCGGCATGGCTTTGAGCTCTCATTCCCGTAAGGTATTCTGAGCGCGTACGAGATGTAGAAGAAAGGCGACCCGATACGTTGTAAGATGCAGGATTGTTGTCACAAAAGATCATAACTGTCCCAAGTCACCCTAGAAGAGGTAAGATGGTGATGTAAATACACTGGCTCACGCATAGTGATCATTGTGAGGAAGCAGGTCTCCGTTATCCATTAAGAAACGCGTTTTCTCATTACATTAGAAGCACTTCTAAACGCCAATACTCCTGCTTTATTATCGATTCTCTCAACTCTTCTCCTCTATGAATTCGAAGACAGCAACAAAATCCTGATCAAGCTCAGGCGCCACAGAATCATCTCGGACTCACAGAACTTGACACCGAATCCGGCGTCCCGTGCTGCCGAAGCAACACAAGTAATACATTGGATCACAATTTGATGAACTAGGACTGACTGGTCTTGGTAGCTACCATGATTGAGGGATTGAAGCTTGCATAGACTCTATTCTGTTATCGTCATTGCCTTCTGCGAGATGGCAATGACCATGGCAAGCGGGTTACTACAAGTAACAGACCTGATTGAATAGTCGAAAGAAGCCAGTAAACAGGATCCTGAGCTTCGAGCAGAATGAAGGTTATATGCGACATCCTGAAGTTAGCTGCAAAAAGCGACCGACCACGTACAACTACTGATAGCAGTAGCATTAGGTCTCTTGTTGGATGTCGTAAGCCTACAGAGGCAACCAGGCTTTTCTTAATGATATCACTCTAAGTGTTTGTTGCCGAAGATATGCTTAGCAGTTCTAGTGACTCTGACGGGCTGTCCTGAACCTCACTCCATCTAAAACGTCACCAACATACGACCCTGACTCACAGAGAACTGGCGTTGTACTACTTGAAGCTTTCCATTCAAAAGGCTGAGGCTCATCTAATATTGTTCCTTGAGACTGGTCCAGAGAAACTCACGGAGACTTTCACTGAACCTTGCTTTGATGGTTTTGTTTTTAGGTGTGTTGTGCAAGACATTTTATCAGGTTTTGCGCGGAGGTTGACAATAATGTATCCCGAGCTTTGTATTATGTTGATCAGTCCCGAAGGCCCTGACAACTCAGGCTAAAGATTCAGTGCCGCTTGCGAGTACCCTGGCACGGTGTCATAGCCTAGCCTTCACTTCCCTAGTAGTATTAATACAGTCACCGATAAGAGTGGGTATTAGAGTTCTCATGGGGATACTGGATAGAATGATGTCTATGGAGGGAATGAGAAAGATTATGGACCTTATGGTGTTTGCTAATTAAGGCAATATAACGTCGATGAGAAACCTATCAGTATATTGGATACGAAATTTAGTTGTGGCTATACCAGGAGCGGCTCATAGTCTACAATGGGCGATTCTGCGAGTCTTTGTAAATACAGAGAACATTATTAGGTGGGTGTAGTAGCGACTCAGGAAGCGGGCAAGATATCAGATATCTGGGGATGAAATTTCAAGGCCATGGGTGTCATTTGGATCGCTCATGTACACATTCTACCTTTAAATGGATACCGATAGTGTGAAATATTTGGTTAGTTGATGTGTGATGAAGCTATTAATCCATGCTATAGTACACAGCACACCCTGCAGTGCATATGAGGATAATCGGAGGCGAAACTCAAGCACACCAAAATCCCTTCCTGTTCCTGGAGTTGAGCCCCTGTCGCTTTAGGTTGAGGTGGGCTGAGCGAGGGGACAAGTCAGGGGCCAGGGGTCCATTTTCAGGATCACGAATACCGACTACGCCCCATTTCGTGAAAAAGTGAACCGGACGATGGAAGGAAACCGAATCCTAAACTGCAATATCAACTGCTAATCATTGTGCTGATATATTACTAAATCGTGCTTCGTAGGCGTCTTTCTAAAGACGTTGAGAACCCCGCTTGCGCGGGTGCGAATGTTCTCTTGACTGGTGCTAGTTCACATATTAAGTTGATCTCATGACATGGCACTTATGGAATTCGATGGCTTAACCCTCCAGAACTGATTAGCCAACGATTAGGCATCCAGATCCTCGAAGAGAGAACCACTCCTTGTGTTTCTCCCTTCCATTAGGTGAGAACCTAGTGAGCATCCACTCCGCGGCGCCTGAAGCTCAGTACATACAGTCTTTTCGTTCAAGGTCGTTTGGAACGGGCTGACATTACTAGTCTAAACCCCTAAGGCCTCGCCCTTTTTAAATACCAATTGCTAAATAAGTCCTTTTGGAGTAACTGTAGGGGGCACCCATTTTTACTAAAAGAAATAAAAGCGATTGTAGCTAGCATCCTTGTAATATCAAGCTTCGCCCTTTTAGATCCAAAGATGCAGCAGTCATATCAGTCAGGTTTTACTGGTCATATACCCTTGTCTTTACTAACATATCTTATTTTTTTAGCTAGAGATTTTAGCAGGTATACTACACGTCCGCTGTGAGTTGGAAGCGAGACCATCATCTTTTCATTCGGTCGAAAGTCTCTCGCTTCCGGCCTCATAGAGCGAGTCCAAAACCTTACATACAATATCACCGAACTTTCGATCAAGGTCACGACTTTGGGCAGCAAAAATTCGACCTCTTTCATGCCGCCAAGAGCCCCGATCCCATAGAAGCTCTTCAAATGCCGCTTCCAACTTAAGTTTCTCGTCCCTCAACGTTTCATCTTCTATATTTTTGGGGGCTCTCTCGCAACGCCTGCCTTTCCCCTCACTTTCCAGCACTATACACTTGACATAAGGTACTCTGTCGTGTACTGCAAAGTGTTCAGGCCATCGAGATGGGTCTTTCCAGAATAGCTCGCGAATTTGGAAGAACTCGACGAACCATCTCGTAGATACAGCGAAGGCAACCTTCCAGTCAAAGGGCAGTGGTTGTGTATCCAAACAGAATGCGCCATAATCATTTTTGTCTAGTATGATATACCCAGTTGACGGAAGCAAAGTGTTGAAAACTCGAATACATGCTCCAATGTCCAAGTAGAGAAGCTTCAATTCGTTCGAGTAAGTTTCATCCTCGTCGAATTCGTCTGAATAACGGTCAATAAAGGTTAGACTCGCAATAACCTTGAATAGCCGTCGCAAGAATGCCAAAAAAGGCGTCGTAGTTTTCTCGAGACTGTTCTTCACCAGAACTGGGAAAACAGCCTGAGCGTCGGCATTTGCCAGAAGCATATACTTGACTGAGCCAATAGATCGTCTAATCATCTTGAATGTAAGGATATTATATTCTTGTGTATCCATGGATTTCATCCAGTCGTCGGGAATCATACTGGTTATTTCCTCATGTGTCTCGAAAATGTCGCAAGCCGAGAACAGGATTGCGTTCTGTTCGTCGATCGTCAACGTCGCCAACATCCGTTCCCGACTTTGTGACAGAAATTGACTCGCACCATATGCCGCAGCACATATGAACATGGCCAATTGCAGCGAGTCCGTTTGTGATACAGCACCCAACATCTCGCTGAAGTCGTTCAGCAATCTTAGCTCGTCGTCAACACCGACATGACCAATCACGACATGGCATGCTAGCAATCCTGCAAAAGAGGCGCAAGCCTGAGTTTCCATGTTTTCAGGCAGTAATAAAGGGATCATTCGCACATAGTCAGCGAAGATGTTAGTTTTGTAGACTATGTTAAAGATCGCTGTGCCCTCGAGAGCTTCCAGAATTCGCAGCCACTTGTCTTCAGGATCGCGGGTATCATAACCTAGTAATACTCGACCAGAAGGCGTATTCAATAGATACTCGCGAACGGACC